TTCACATTGATGTGAAGGTTGTTCTACTTACACCAGTTCTCCAGGTGGTCCACCTGCCTGTAGCTGGACTCGTTGTTTGTGATGCATCCCACTACCGATGTATCGTCTGCAAACTTTACGATATGACTACCTGGATGGGGAGGTGCACAGTCATACGTGAGCAGAGTGCACAGGAGGGGGCTTAACACACAGCCCTGAGGGGAGCTAGTGCTGAGGATTATGGTGGAGAAGTTGTGGATCCTCACAGACTGCAGCCTGTTGACATACACTGACATGATGCTTCATGCAGCCACGCCTTGCATACCTCAGGTTCATGTGTGTCGCAACATGTTCAGGATGCTCACGCATCAGATTAAGGTGAGTGCACGAGCACGTCAGAGCCTCTGAAAGCAAGTTGTTTATCTGAAATCAAGTTTCATCTGGCAACAGCTTTGTTAGCACACAGGAACTCTGGCAGAAAGCATTGCCATCCTTGTAAACAAGTTGTGGCTTTGCAGGAAATCCTTGATGCTCAGGCTGCAGCAAGAATAAACAAACCTGTGTCAGGTTTGCCAGATCAGTGCAGGTTATCATGTTGAAAGTTTTGTTTGAGGGGCAGGAAGCTGGAGCAGAGCAGCTGTCACCCTCTTGTCCTCGTTGTGCACTCTCTGAAAGACTCTCTGAAATGTTGGGAGACATGCAGAGGGAAGTGATGGGACAAGCAAAACAAATCCATCAGTCCCACTGTCCCCCTGGCAGCTTTGTTATGAATAATTTATCCAGGATGACGGATGTTTTGGATGTTTGGTTTCCAGAGATCGCAGCTGTAATTGAGAACAGTCAAGGTGCAGAAGCTGCCGAAGGTCAGCAGTTCAGTTTTTGAGTTATTTGACAAAAAAGTTTAAGATTTTAAATGATTCTTAAGATGTTATGGGACAAAATATATATGAACTTAAGCACTGTAGCTTAATCAGACTGTCCGTTCATGGCTATATTTAAATTATAAAGCTTTGAACCCAAATAACAGATGTCCTCAGTGCAGTGAGACATCAGCTATCAATGGTCCATGTGTTGAATAGGACATGTTCATCAGCTGAGAGATTATCTCACTAAGAGAAACTTCAAACCAGTGGTTTATTGCAGCGAACTGGAATTCCTCCTCAAGAGCTGCAGAAGAAACAAAATGGTTCTGCTAAGAGGACCTGCGTTGAACGTTCTAGCTTTCAAATGAAAATGTTTGAGAATTCATGGTCATCATCATGTTCTGTAGAATTATCAAGAATTTATTGTCTTTACAATACTTATTTCAGTAATGTAAAATGGAGTGGAAAATTGGAGTAAAGGTTATTGCAAGTAGCATTTTTTATGTCACGCATATGAAACGCTGCCTTGTTAATGAAAGTAAACAGAAATGTGTGCAAAATATATCATGAACCATTGAAGGATTTTAATAAATCTCTTGGATCATTAAATAGACATACATCTACGAGCAATTTGTTTTTGGAATCAACCCAATTGTGCCAATTACTCGTGAAGTAATTTAGTTTTCCTTCGACCTTCTGGTGTGAACACGTCTCTGAACTGGTCTGGATGTCTGTTATCTTAATCATAATTACCAACATAATGGTATTTCCTCCAGTTATTTAACAGTCAACAATGGTGTACCCCAAGGCTCAGTCTTAGGACCCACCCTCTTTACAATCTACATAGGTAATGTAGGTCAGAGCATCCCTGATGTATCCTTACATTTCTATGCTGATGATACAGTTGTTTACTGTTGAGCTAAAACAGTTGCTATGATTTTCCAGCTTTTGCAATCCACTTTCGACATCATCCAGTCTGATTTGTCCCATCTCAAACTTGTCCTAAACGCAGACAAAACTAAAGGGATGCTTTTTTCAAACAGGAAGTCAGTCCCAGCAGTTCTGCCTCTGATGTTATCCTCAAATGGTGTCCCTTTTGAGTTTGTTGATTTCTACAAATATTTGGGTATCTTGGTCGACTCACATCTCTCTTTTAAGCTCCATGTGGAAAACCTAGTAAAGAAACTGAAAGTTTAACTGGGTTTCTTTTTCAGAAACAAATCCTGTCTAACCCTGAATGCTAGGAAGCACCTTGTAACTGTGACTTTCCTTCCCTCCACTGACTATGGTGATATTACTTACATGAATGCTCCTACAAGCACCCTGCAGATGTTGGACACTGTCTATCACGGTGCGCTAAGATTCATAACTGGCTGTAACTATCATACCCATCACTGCACCCTGTATTCACTGGTTAACTGGTCATCATTAACTTCACACAGACTCTCCCACTGGTACATTTTCATCTTTAAATCACTTCTTGGTCTGTTGCCTTCATACATCTCCTCCTACATGTCTCTGCGTGAGTGCAGCTACAGTGTGCACTCTCAGGACATTATTACCTGCAGTGTTCCCTCAGTGAGAACTGAACTTGGCAAAAGGGCCTTCTCCTACTCTGTTTCTGTTTCCTGGAATATCTTGCAGAAATACCTGAAGCTCTCGACCTTGACCTCTCTAAGTGATTTTAAACATCTGCTAAGTACCTGGCAAGAACCAATGCAGACATGTTCCTGTTTTTAGTATTTTACACCGCCTTATAATCTAGCTGTTTTATATTCACTTGTTTAAAAAAAAATAATAATTATATATATATATATATATATATATATATATATATAATATATATATATATTTGTATGCACCATTTATGAATGTCTTATTGTCTTTGTTGTCCACTCTTGTCATCACTCTTTGTTAAAATCATGTCTTTCTTGTAAATGAGTCCCCGAGGCTCAATGAGATTAACCTGTCTAAATAAAGGTTGAATGGAAAAAAATCACAGCTACTCTGCAATGAAACCCAAATATGAGACAACAGTAAAATAGCCATTAAAGCAATTTATGGTACTCAAAACATTAGTGTGGTAATTAAAGAAAAATTGTACGCTTTTAAAAGTCATGATGAATATGACAAATACAAAAGTGCAAAATTAAAAAGTTTGATTTTTTTTGTCTGGACAACAGCAGTTGGACACATGTCCACCAGATTTTAGTTACCCAGTGAGGTAAAAAAAATTGTGAAAACATGAAAATAGACACAAAAAGAGTTTGAAAATTATGAAAATAAACAAATAAAATCTAACTTCAGTTGTCAAAGGTGACTCAGAGATCTCCAAGAGCACGTTTGGTGTTAAACAGGAATGGCTGACACTTCTTGGTAACAATCAGACCATAAAGTTAGAGATTATATTGACATAGTTGGCAGTGGAACTACTGAATAATTTAAAATATTGAGCAAACGTTATGATATAAAGACGTAAAGAACTATTAAAGGTTTAGACCAGATCTTTTAATGTAGGGTTTTATGAAAAGGTTCTAAACAGTTATCTTACCTGTTTTAGATAGCTCTTAAGTTTGGAGGAATAGTTTAATTCTTATCAGATTGAAGAGTTAACCCAACATATTCTCCAAACTGAGCTCTTTCACAAAGCTGTCTACTACATTCAGCATATTAACAGCTCAGAACTTTTCCGCAGAATCTCCCTTCAAATGATCTGAACTATTACTTTAAGATTTGTGCAGAAGCATTGGGGTAAAACTGGATTGGACACTGGCAATAAGCTCTGCGTATAAACATGCACCACTGAGCTCTAGAGCACATAAAAGCTGGGTTTGCTCAAGTAAAGTGTTTTGAACCCATTTGTTAGTCATCAGCACACACGAGCTGGAAAAGGGGGGTCCACGGAGAGCAGAGGGGCTTACTTTATATAGAGCGTATCAGAGCCTGGGACGGGCTGTGCGTGTGCACGGTCTGCAGCACCGACTGAAAGGGCAGGAGAAATACAGCAGGGAATTGTATATGGAGTAATGACTTTTATCTCTCTACTAAATCACAACAGTAGCGTTGGCTGTTTCTTTTTCTCTAGTTTTACCACATCCAGGGGCCCTTTTTTTTTTTGTTTATTTTGTTTCCCGTTTGCCGCCAGAGACATTTTTCTTGCTCTTGCCTTTACTTTATAGATTTATCACTTTTCTAGGTCAAAGCAACATCACATTGTGGATTCAGGCCACTGCAAAGATGTTGTGAGGAGGTTTAGGAGCCGGGATATGGAGAGGATTTCACACCAGCAACAATAGCTGAAGCCTTCGTGGGAAGAGACGGCAGCTCTTTGTGTTCTCACACAGGAAGACTACTGGTCCCGTTAGACCTCAGTGCTGCATTTGATACAGCTGATCACAATATTCTACTACAGAGGCTTGAATATGATGTTTGGATTACAGGAGCAGCTGTAAAATGGTTTAAATCACACTTATTTGATTCCGGTTTTTAAATGGAAATAATGAATCTTCTTCATACGCCAAAGTTAGTGATGGAGTTCCTCAGGGTTCAGTACTTGGACAAGAATGCTTGAGTGAAGCAACACAACATGAAAGATGTCTTGGCACATTTTAATGGTTTACTTTAATATTTCAGACAAGAGTCCAACCCAAAGCTAGCATATTTATTTATGGAGTTTGTTGTTTGCTCTGTTAGCATATTTCCTAAAGAAATGCTAACTCAGGCTTGAATTCAGTTGCCAATTACCTATCATGTCTAGTTTATGGCAAAACCATGTCAGAACACGATAACAGTCTCTGCAGGCCTGGAAGTTAAACAAAAAACAGAGACAGGACATGAATAAAATTATATTTATGGAGATTTAATTTGATATATATCTTTTAAATACATACGTAATAAAACATCAATCACACGCCACAACTTTTATCTTTTGGACTTGATAAATACTTCATAATAAAGTACAGTAGTTGGATGTGTTCAGTTGTGTACATATGGTTGCATAAACTGCGAGCTCTAAAATTCAAATCATGTTAAAAGGTGTAGATCTAAAATTGTTTAGCAATTCTGTTGGTCAACACAAAATAATGTGTGAATATGCTGAGCTGCAATGGAGTAAAACTGAAAGACTAAAAATGCAAGCTTCAGCACCACCCCCCCAACCCAAGTGTTCTTCAATAAGTGCATTGTTTTGATCCTTAAGGCAAAGACACAATCGAGAAAACTGCCGAGTGTGTTTAGATGTTTTGAGCGATGGTGACGTCCTACTAGGCTTCTGTGTCGTCCCGGCCAACGGGAAACTCCGTAATCGCCTTGGCGATGCGTTCAGCTATTACCCTGCTGCTGGCGACAATCAGGCGGCGAGACATCAAATCAAACGTCCCACCTGGTTAACGGAGAGAAAAAGGACAAAAATGGACTTTAAAATGTTGCAAATCATTTATAAACTATAAGATCACCTAACAAAGCCAGTATATCACTGGGTTGTGAATGCTGGTGGCTCAAATTTGGAAGCAAAAAGGAAAAACTCGCATTCCATTTTTCTGACTGTTTGCAACCAAGAAACCAGTAAACCCCATGGCTGCATTTGCATCACCAATATCTGAAAATTATGCATCTTTATACATACAGTGTTTTTGGACAACACGAGACAAAGACGATTACAGCAGCGTTAGCACAGACTGTGGTCGGAAGATTCCCCAACCACTGATGTGCTCAGCTGGGGGCCTCTGAATACCCCAACACCTACATGAGTCCTCACACATGCAAACACTTGTGCTCACAAACATTCTGAGGGACATGAATGTAAAACAACTGTAGGTTTGCCATATTGCTATAAGGTCATCACTAAAACCCTACAAGTTAAAACCCTCGCTGCTGATTGCAAGTGTTAAAGTAGTGTCTCTGTCGCTTCTGCAGAACCTGCAAGTTTTAAATAAACCGCAGAACAAGTAATGAAGTGACTGTTTACTTTTTATTGCAACATCCAAGTGCCCAGAGGTTTGCAGATGTGTTTTTATGGAGGTAATTTTCACAGTAAGTAACTTAATAAAACACAAGAGTTTCTTGTTTCTGCAGCTCTTGTTGAACCAACTGCTTCATAAGGATCTGAATTCTTCTTAGGACAGTTCCCTCCCCTGGGACCTGTTCACCAAGACCCCAGGATCAGTTTGCCCTTGGCAGACTGGACTCCTCTCCAGGGACCAGTTAGCCAAGGCAGTCTCACAGAGCAGGATGGAGTTTTGATGGTCAGGCTGACCTGATTTGTGGATTTGATTAGATTACCCTTCTGAGCTTATTTTATTCCCCCCAGATGAGCAGCCTGCAGTGTAGACCCGAATCAATAATAAAACTACACAAATCAACAAACCTGAAACATTTTGAATCTTTGGACAAACGCAGTAAAACCTGGTTAACTGTGTGATGCTCATGAAGCATTCACACTATTGTGATCCATTGTTCTTCCGTACGTTTTTCAACGCAATTCTCATTCCACAATTTTTGTGCTACGTCAATAATTCGTAAATCAAAACGTTCAGCTCTTTCATGACAATCCTGCTATGACTTTTGGTATTGGTGCAACTTTAGCTTTTTGAAACATTTATCCTTTTCTGTCATTTTTTTTCTCAAAAGAAATGAATTGAGCTCATTTTACATCCTTCAAATCTTTAGATCTGTTTACACCTTTTTACTGCTCCTTTCACATTTTGTTCTGCTTCAGCTTCTTTCAGCTTCCTTGTGCAAATTTAAACTTGTTTCAGCTACTTTCAGCTGTTTTGTGTTCCTTTCAGATTCTTTCTGCTAACTACATTTTTGTGCTTCTTCTAACTTATTTCTGCTAATTTCAACTTGTTATGCTCCTTTTAGCTTATTTATGCAAGTTTAAGCTATTTCTGCTACTATTTAGCTGTTTTTATGCTAATTTGAGCTTTTTCAGCCAATTCCACATTTTTTGCACTTGTTTCAAATTTTTTTAAACCTAATTCTGCAAAATATGTGTTTTCTCCACTTCCTTCTGGTAATTTAAGCTTCTTTCTGCTTTTTGGCTGCTTTTTGGCATTTTTTTTCTAATTTAAGCTTTTTTATTTTTTAGATAATTTCCACTTTTTTGTGCTCATGTCTGCTTCTTTCAGCAAACATGTCCATTCTGATTTCTTCTGCTAATTTAAGCTTGTTCTACATTTTCAGCTAGATTTTTAGCATGTTCAGCTAATTTCAGCTGTTTTCAAATAAATTCAAGTTTTTCATGGTAATTTTGGCTACTTTCAGCCTAAATAACTTATTTTATTACATTTAGGAACTTTTGTGTGAAATCTTTTTATCTGTTGCTGCTGTTGTTACACTTGAATTTCCCATCCGTGGGACAATAAAAGATTCTATTCTATTATTTCTGTAAATTTCAGCTTGTTATGATCTTTTAGATTCATTGCTACTAGTTTCAGCTTTCTGCAAATTCAGCTACTATTTAGCAGTTTTTATGCTAAAGTTAGCTTTTTCAGCTAATTCCACATTTTTGGATCTCTTTAGCATCTTCTACTTCCTTCTGGTAGTTTAAGCTTCTTTCTGCCTTTTCAGCTACTTTTTTCCTAAATTCAGCTTTTTAGCTAATTTCCAACTTTTGTGCTCATTTCTGCTTATTTAAACATAATTCAGCAAATAAGGCTTCTTTCTGCTTTCTTCTGCTAACTTCGGCTTGTTCTTCCATTTCAGCTACATTTCAGCATGTTTTTAGCTAATTTCAGCTGTTTTTTGTTAGCAAGTTCTTCAGCAATAAGCATTCCCACTGCATTTTTGCAGGAAATGCAATTTCTCTGGTTATGGGGAACTAATGTTTGTTTTCAGCCTTGTTTAAATCATGTTTTATTGAAACAAAATTTTCTCCTTTTATAGAGTTATTTTTTTTACTTAGAACAATTTGCTGTAATTTGTTGCCAAGACAAACATCCATTATGTGAAGACAGGTGATTTTTATTCAGCAATCTCGTGTCCAAAGCCTAAGATAAAATACCTGTTTAGAGCACAAAGCAGCAGCCGGCAGTCTCAGCTTCACAGGCATTTATGAGCAGAGAGACACACTATTGGTAACAATTCATAATTCATAAAACAATAACTTCTCTTCCACTGAAACAGCAGCAGCAGCCAATTTTCACAGCAGTCATCTCCTCCAGCAGTTCTCCCTTCCTTTCATTTTGCTCAGTCACTCAGCAGTCTGCACACACTTGGGCGCTGCAGTTCTCTCACCTGATATGTCCATGATGACTCCCCCAGCTTCGGTCACTATCGCCGCCCCACCGGCCATGTCCCAGCAGTGGATGCCCATGTGATAGTAAGCGTCTGCCGAACCGGATGCTACCAGACACATGTTGACAGCTGCACTGCCTGGGGAGCGAATCCTGTAAAACCAGTAAGAACATGATCTTGTTTCCAGGTTCTAGATGCTCATGAAAGTCCATCTTCTCATCTATAAAACCAATTAATGCTCTAAAAATGTCACATTCAGAAGTTTTATTTGTCTCAGTTAAAAGTCTGTGTGTGTGTGTTGTTACTATTTTTGTCTCTTTAATTAGAGCTCGTGATGCTAATTTTCATCCTCAGAGCAACAAAATGACCAACAGGCTTTTATTGCAAAGCAGCCACAGGAAACGCAATGTATTGGTCTCAGAGCACAGTTTATTAAATACAAGCGTGAATAGAAAGTGTATTTGTTAGTTGCAGATCATTTAACTTTATCAGCAGGTTCAGCCACAGAAAACTGTTACTGCTATTTGTGAAGGGAGAACATTTGAGTCAAATCTCACTATTACAGTAGTTAGGACTGTGTTTAAATGATTATAAACAATTAAAGCAACAGATTTTTAGTTCCGAGTCTAAAACCACTAGTAAACCTAGAGATCAGAGGAAAGCAGCTTGTACATGTAAAAATATTTACCCATGAACAGGAATGGTGACAATGGTCCTGACGTTTGCCAACATCGTTTCAAAATGCTCAGCATTTGACTTGAAGCCCAACTCTGTCAGCACCAGAGACTGGCTAATATCTTGGAGGAAAACAATAAATAGTCATTTATCTGCTTCATTCACTCCTTGAACTGTTAACAGTGGAAGTTCGGCTCCACCTAGTGGATCTGTTTGTTACTGCAACTCCCGAGTTTGAGTACTCACCTTCTTGTCCCGACACTTTGATAGGGACTCCGTTGCAGAAAGCTCCCTTTCCTCTCCGCGCGGTGTACATTTTGTCCTCCATGCAGCTGTAGACGATCCCAAACTCTATCTGAAGACAAAAAGCAGCACAGAAAACTGCACTGGTTAATGCATAGTGGGAGGAGGGCGATATATATAGAACAGCAGCTGTATAATAGTAGAAATTTACAGACTTATTAAGAAATTCACAAGAAGACGATGGGGGTAGTGTCGCTAATCATGAAGAAATCACAGCAGAACAACGTGGGATTTGCATGAATTATCACTCACCACTTTCTTCACCGTGAAGCCGATGGATACAGACACAAAGGGGAACCTAAGCAACAGAAATATACAAAGCAACATGCATTTAATGAACTCCCTTTAGATTCAAGCTCTGAGGAGTCAGCTTCTATTATCAGTTCAGTTTCATCTGGGCTGTCTCATTATCCCTGAAGACAATCCAAGAGAGGACAATCCCAGAAAAGGGAGCTAATTAAAAAGGTAAAAATAGTTACAAGAGGAACGCAGATAAAAACAATTAATCCAGTACAACTTTCTAAGAGAGGACTGAACAGAGGTTAGTAGTACCTGTGAACAAAGTTGGTGGTACCATCGATGGGGTCAATGATCCAAGTGGGATTGTCAGTCAGAACGCTGGGGGCGCCTGCTGCTACTGACTCCTCACCTATGAAGCTTGAGAATTACAGACAGGGAAAATATGAACAATATTTCACCTGCGCTGAACTCTGTTCAAAAACTAAGACAATGGTGTTTAGGGTTGAACTGCTGTGGCCTCATCAGGACTCTGTTACCTCTGACGCTCAGTGTAGTAAACACCTAGCTGCACATTTATGTGCAAAAAAAAGAAGCTAGCGGGCATCATCCTATCATGGAAACCAAAGTAGTGATTGTCACATCCTCTCAAGAGAAACAAAAACAATACAAGGTCTAAGGTCACCCCTCCCTCTCACTGCTCCGGTGTTCATGTGAGCTCTAAATGGCACCAAGATGTAAACAGTCAAAGCTCTCCAGTGCCCAGGGATGATGTTTGCACTTTTAACACCAGCTGTTCTGCAGCAGCTTGAGCTGAGATCAGTGTTGCCAGGTAGAGTCCAGGTTTTCCAGCCCAAAAATCTGTTAAAAACCGCCACATCGCACAAAAACCCGCCCAATCAATATATTGTTATATTTACTGTTTGAACATGAGCGCACATCAGTACAAGCCAAGGAAATTTAACACTATGTGGCAGAACGCAACAATCCAACAAGATCTGCCCAGAGTTCACTGTAAACGACTCTGACCCAGCCACCACAGCAGCAGATCCAGTGAGTGTCATGTGACACATCACATACTAACATGTTTGCAGACAGATTCACAACAGCCGTGTAGACTGCTCCTCTTTTCACATGTAGAAGACACAAACTATGATCGGTGCGCACACACAAATATGCTAAGCTTATTTCTACATAACTGCAATAATTATATTTACTACAGTTGATTTTGAACTCTTACTTTTAATGCAGATTAGATTATCGGCTGGAACTGCAAAATTTGCAGTGAGCCTTGCTTTCATCGTTTTTAGATGGCACTATCCACGATTTAAGATCACTGTCGCTTTCCCACTCTTTGCTGTAACTCTTATATTTTCCCCACTTCTGCATCTTCCTGCTAGGTTTATTACATCAGATCCACCTGCTGCTAAAACTTATATGGCGCCACCTCGCCAGTTCTCTGTTGTCAACGCCCTGGCAGATGACAATAGCCAATCAGTGATGGAGCGTCAGGGGAGCGTTACTATGAACCAATAATGATGAATGATTGGTTGAAATGTGTTTTAATAAAACTGCTGATCTGACTCCAAATACACCCAAATTAACCTCACCTGTCCAAAGCAATTTTACCCACAAAATCTAAATGAAAACCACCCAATTGTGCAGTAAACCGCCCTATCTGGCAACACTGGCTGAGATGAAAACTAGTCCTGTGTGGACTGGTACCGAGACTTGTCGTTTGCATTCACATACAAAATAACATGCTTTGGTCTTGTATGTTGCCTTTTAGCTTTAGAAACCAGGTTGTCCAATTAAAACAAATATTATGTTGTATTTGACACAGACTATCAGCAAAAATTTGATGATGGCTAAGATGGACACGTATGTTTTAATGAGCAGCTGTGGAGTGAAGCGGTCCTAGGGGGTCTGGGCATATCCCCTTGGATATTTTTTAAATCTACTCAAAACTATGCATTTTCAAGCCATATGAAGCACTGTTACTAATACTTGGGATTAATAAGCAACGTTATGAAGGTAAAGCACTGACAGCTGCCCTTTAAGCTGAACTTTATCCAAGACCATACTTGAAAACTGCATTAACCTTATTTCTTTACACAGAGCTCCATGAGTTTGTCTTGACTGCATCATGTGGTACTTTCATCACTAAATATCATCTGCAACATATAACCTCATGTAGTAGCAAAACACACTATCCTGAGAAAAGTTGTCTTCATAAACCTGAGTAACCAGTGACTCTTGTATAAACTACATCAATTAGACTAGATAAATGTTATAAAATATTTAAAGAAATATGTACTTGTTAGAATACAGAACAAGTGTAAATGTCAAGAAAAAGCAGGTGATTGAGAAACTTATGTAACTAATTTTATCATGAAACATCTGCACTTATAGTGTGATGATATTTGTAGAATATATATGAATCGTGCTTTTACCCAGCACCTTTCTTCTTATTTATTTAATTATGTGAAGGAAATGTTTAACATACAGAGTTAACTTGTCTTCTGTATTTGCAGTGAAAAGGAGACAAGTCATATAAAAACATCAGGGACCATTACAGCCGATGTAATAACTAGATCTAAGAGCTTCATTTAGGATTTTAATTTAACCTCATTTTTATTCTAATTTAATCTGAGACCAACATTTAAAACATTTTTTGTAGGGGGCAAATAAATTTTTATTCAGATTTGGTCTGCGAACCTGGATGTGCTTCAGACTATATGAACTAACAGAACCAACAACTGGGCTCACAGTTATAATATATAAAGAGGTGGAAGAAGAATAACATTTAGGTTGAACATTATAAACAGAGTAAATATTAGCAAATTATATAAAAACAAGAAAAAGTAGACAAATGTGAAACACCGGCTGAACAGATTTAATTTAACCTAAGCTCAAACGTCGTTAGAAATGTAAGTTGGGAGTTTCCAACAGGACCAGTTTTCACCGGAGCTCAGGCTGCTGCAGAACATCAGCTGATGGTCAAATGTTCAAACGCTGTTTATTGAGTAGAGTCAGAGTTTCTTTATTGTCATTCGCACCTCATGTGGTACATGTGGTGGAGCGAAATTATGTACACAGGGTCCCAGTTACATCCAACAATAAAATGTATAAGAAAAACAGTAATAACATCCAAGATATGAACTAAGAAAAACATCAACTAAATATACACTAAGCACTCATAACATAAAAACATTGAACATCAGCACAAACATGAACATGAGTCTGTGAGCAGATGAGCACGCATGAACACATCAACATTGAAACAGATCAGCAGCAACATGAAACAGATCAGCAGCAACATGAAACAGATCAGCAGCAACATGAAACAGATCAGCAGCA